GAGAGGGGGNGGGGGGTTTGATGAATTTAAGGAACGAATGATTGGGTTGTAAGATAACGTGATGGGTTGATCATAGGAATTTTGATCTTCGTGTCTTATTGAAGGAATTTTGACTATTCTCATAGGAATGAATTCCATGTGATCTGAATTTTTAATACATAGAAAATGAAAAATGAAAGCAATTAATTTAAATTTTAGTTCTATAACAATTATCATAATTAAAGTTACAGAACTAAATATACTAATGGTAATGAGTTTCAAATGAGCTATGAAGTGTGCTAGTTCTTCTTCTATTGTTTCAGTAGTTCTCTCAAATTGTACTGTCAGTTGTTCAATTAACTGGTCCTTGGAATCTGAGTCCTTTGCATTTTTTGTATGCCATTTATCGACTCCTTCATCGATAATAATATCCCTGTTCATGATATAAGGTTTGGAAAAGTTACAAGTCATGTCCTTTATCTTCTCAATTTTCTTAAAAGTGAATGCTGTTTGCAATTCATCTGATATCCATTTGCAATTTTGCGTGGTGTTCTAACTGTGGTTATGAGAAGCAGCGATATTATAATTAAACAATTCGTTGTTGACATAAGAATTGATCGGGTTCCATCTCGTTTCCGTGTAGCCCTTCTGGTTCTTGTAGCTATCGGTTCCTCCGGTTCTGTATTCTGAATTGGGGTTTCCGGAGTTGCCTGTTGAATAGTTTCGTTATCATCAACTTCTAGAGGATATAACATATTCACTGGCCTATTGAGTAGTTTTCCATGTGGCATTTCTATTATTGCACTTCTTATTTCTCCATCTCGCCCTCTCTTGATTTCTTTTATTTTTGCTAATTTCCGCATTCCGCGGGGAATTTCTGGTTCGTTAACTAATACAATTTCTTGCTCCGAAGGTTCCCTTGCTTCAACTAATCTTGGGGAGATGTGGTTTCTCTGGGTTCGTTCTTTTAAACTATTTAGATATTCTCTTTTCCATAATTTCCAAAATTGATCTAACGCCACATTTGTACGTGACCAATATTTAATTAATTTCTCTTGAGTACTCATTCTATAAGGGGTGTACTCGTCTTGATCCCCGCCATTAAAAATTTGAGTTATCAGAGAGCCGTTTGGTGAAATAAAATCAATTGGACGTATGGTAACGTAGTCATCGAAACTTACATACGTCAGTGGTCGGGTGTTCAGTATGCCTTCTATTTCCACTATTAATGTGATCAATTCCTTTCGTGATAATAATTTTCTTCCAATACACCTTCTCATCGCATGTTTTGTTAGGCCAATCAACCGTTCATAGACTCCGCCGCTCCATGGGGCCCTTGGAATTATACTCTCCCAAATAATTCCCTTCATTGTTAGGAAGTTTTTCATTCTAGTTCTATATTTCATAATGGTCTTAAAAACCAATTGAAACTGGTTAGCATTATCACTGAGAATTAATCTAGGATAGCCTCGTCGAGCGCTGAATCTTCTTAATACATGCATAAAGCTTTCAG